CTTAATTTCCCTCCCTGTTGGCTGCTGGTACTTAATTTGAGTTGTGTGACAGCATTTTTTTCCACTTCTGTAAGGCATCTTGGGGTGAATGCCTCTACAGCAGAAAGACGCGTTGTGGGTGTGGTACCTTGGGGAAATGGTTGTAGCAATGGCAGCATATACTTCAGTGAAGATGTTAACAGAGCTGGCTAATCAGTGCATTGGGCTAGAGCTGGAAGATCGCACACTAGCCTTTTAGAGACCTCTTAATTTTCAGTGGCCCAACAAGCTCTGCTGAACAGGTGTTGGTTAAGTACTCCTTCTCCTCTAATCAGGTAATCCCTTTTAGTGATGCTGGTGTCATCCTTTGCCATTAAGGCAATTATCTGGGATTCTCCTCTCAGGAGGCTAATTTGCTTTCCTCATACTTCTTTCCTTCTCAGCAGGCTCTTTAATTATTCTCTCTTCTTTTCACCTTTTAATGAATGGTTCCTGTGCAGCATGGGTAGGAAATCTTGTATGTGACAAACTAGAACAATTCCTTTCTCTCATCATCCTGAATAACCTTTTAGTTTCTTCTGAATGCCAGATGCTGCCGCTTTCTGTCAAAGAACTAGGTCAGGATCTCTTTTTGTGCTGATGGATGCAAAGAAGTTCATTGAACAGAAGCCAAGTCCAATCATTGAGGGCCACATCTGGCCCCAGTGAAACCTTGCTGACTTCTTTAATTCTCAGGTGACTTTGCACATGGCTGCCACTGAGCCGTATCCAGAGGAAATGCAGTTGCATGGCAGGCCAGTCTTTGTGCTGAGCTAGCCACCCGGTGTCATTCGAACAATGCGATCATTGTATTTCTGTGCAGCAGCTTGAAGCTAGGAGAGGTCTGAATTTGGAAAAGTTTGTTTCCATTTCCCTTTAGTCATTAAGTTCAGTGGAAGTCAGATTTCAGAGGTGCACTAATTTTTAAACCGTTTGATAGCCACAGGAAGTCTTTCTGGGCTGAGATCCAGAATACGTTAGGACATATGGCTCTGGGAGAGATTCGCAAATGCTCCCTGGGGCTGGGGGCATAGGGATAAAGTAGTTTCTTAACTGCAATTTCATATAAAGGGCTTATTTTGATAAGTGATAAACTAGGATCCCTGGCGAGACTTGTGGAAGAGAAAACTGGGCTGGAAGGGAATTCAGGACATTGTCTAATCCATCCCTCAATCAGCATCTGAACCACTCCCGGCAGACACTTCTCTAACCTGTTTTCCAATGAAGATTTAAGTTATGTGCCCCACGTACTTGCACAGCACTTGCACAATCGGTGAAATTCTGCTCTTTTTACTATCCTTCTTGAAAATGGACCATTCCAGGATGCTGAGGATTGGAATTGAGGGTATTTTGAACCTTTTAGGAAGTGCCCAACTTACTCTTAAAAAGCTCTTCTCCGATAGGCAGGTTCCTGATTCTGTAGATTTAAATTTAAGTTAACTATGGTTTACAAAGTAAATGGTCTTGCAAGTATCTTAAGCCTCGACTGATAAAACTGGGTTGCTGTCAGCACTATGTAACTCCTGGCGCATCTCTTATTTGTCGACCCCTTCCTTAGTCTAGCTAATAATTTAATGTAGCACTGAAATTTGGCTTCAGCTGAACTTAATGACCAAAGGGAAAAGGAAACAGGTATGTCCAAATTCAGACCTTGCGCACGATAACCTACTGCACAGAAATACAGTCACCACGTTGCTCAATTGACACTGGACTGTTTCATGGTAAAATGTCTGTCTTGCAATCAATTAAATATAAAAGCAATCGTAGAGACACACGTGGAGTCAAAACCAAGCCATCCGTTACAGTCAATGGGGGAGAAAAGGACATGTTAGGTTGTTATTCTTTTAAGGGATGGAGGTTGCCCCCTCAAAACTTTGTTTGTCCTCTTCTTCTAGGGACCCTGAGGGCTCTGCTCTGTGAATGTGGATTTGACCTGTGCTTGCAGGTCATTGTGTTTCAGATGGCTCCAGAAAGAGCGCTTTCCTTTGAGGATCATAAATCAGATGTGCAGATATGCAAGGCCTGCAGGACACAGCCTATGCTAAGCCTCATTTTGACCACTTTTTCTTTCACACCTTTTTATCCCCAGTCCCCCAGAGTGAGTCTGAAACTCAAAGAGTATTTTGCAAGGGTGTTGACCCTCTTGCAGTGTGAGACAGGCAATAAGAAGGTGGCTGTCGTGCACACCAGGGTTTTCTCCTGCCCAAGTTCTCTCTGATTAGCTAGTGCCAGATGGGATATGGAGTATGTTGGGGGGACCTCAAGCACTGGGCAAGAGAAGCTGCCAGATAGGAAAAGCAATGCACCTGCAATTAAGAAATATCCCATGCAGCCTCTAAAGAATGGTGGCATCTATCAATCTGCTTTTAAATGAATGGCATTTTTAAACTGAATGTGCTATGCAGACAAATTCCTGCCCTCCACATTTTTCACAAAGGTGATTCTGCTCTAACAGTTAGGAGTGCCTAAGATAATCGTACAGATAACACTTGAGTCAAAATGACCTCAGCTGAGAGACTTAATATATTAGCTCTGCAAATAACTATGCAGATGATTATTCCCATCCATTTCAAGTAGAGCGTTCATCTCTTTAAAAGTACTCGCATGCTAACTTTCATGCAGGTTTCTTCCTCTCCCCTCCCCTCCCCTCCCCTCCCTTGCAGCTTGGAGCCGTCCTTCCTTCCCTGCAGCGCTATCCAGGTAGGATCTCATCATGGCTCAACAGCTGAGCCGGGTCATCAGGTTTTGTATGGGAGGCTCCTATGGGAATCCCAGTTTTTTGCAGGTTGTCTTGGTGACGATTCAATTGGTAGGACTCTGCCAGCAAAATCAGTATGCAGCCAGCTGGGCATGACTGCTGTTCTGCTGCATGTTTTGTCTTTTTAGTGAGAAGTAAAACAGAAACCTTTTGTGATCATCAACTACCTTGTGAAACTATTCCCTTATAAATCCTAGTTTCCTGACCAGGTTGCAGTTCGGGCCATTATATTCCACTTCACTTCTCTGATACCCCCTGTAATTTCAGGTGTCACGTCACACTGAGTGTACTCCTACATGTCGTAGCTCAGTATGACAAGGTTTACGATTAGAGCTGCCAGAGGACTTACGGTGGTTTTTCTACTTTTCCCTGCCTGCCAGGAGATGTGGGGGTGTGGGAGGGTTAGATCTTTCACTTCCTGCTTATTTCACTTTATTTCTGAAGACTTTTATGTTCCTTTGGGTCTCGGGTAAATCTGTACTTTGCATGACTTGCTTGAGTCCTTCATTTCTTTGGGGTCCATGTTTACACCCTGGGGCAATGTCCTTTCTTAGTATTAAGATGTTTGGAAATTACCTTGGCCCTGAGGCTCTAGGTTGGCCATTGTTGAAGGGCTATGGGGCTCTTATGATGTCATTTTAGAAAAACAAGGAGGCCTTGGTACTTGGTTGGCCTTTGTACTGTGGCTTGGTTGGCCTTTGCACCATGGCTGATCTAGACATGGGTCTTTAAACAGCCCTTTGTTTTGGACAGGAGGTCTGATTTCCCCTTGTTACCTTGTAAATGATCAAGTGGGTGTAAATTGTTCATCCTGTTTAGGCAACATTTGCCATTCACCTTGCACTTCTGATTGGCTGCATATAGGGCACTGAAATGGGGAATCCCCTGGCCCTAATGCCAGTGGCTCAGCAGGTTGCTGTTGAGTAGGCCAATAGGTGGAGGGCCCCAATCAATGTGAGCCTTTCACTTGGGTTTTCCTTCTTGTCTTTTTTTAAATGTAGAAAGACATCATGGTGTAGGGATTGTAAGTAGGCATTACAGTAACTGCTAAATCTTAATATTGGTTTTGTGGCACATTATATTTTACCTGTCTCCTAAATTCTTTCTGAACATGAAAGGTGAGAAGAACCCTCCTCCTTTCTGAGAGGCCTTGATCTCCCAGTAGTCGGCTTCTTTGCTTCTGCTCCTTGTGTGTCTTCTGTCCCTGGAAATTTATCTCAGGCATTCTTTATTATGATGTGCCTGGCTTGTTCTGGCCAGCCCTGACAAAGAAACCTGGTTTAACTTTATCCCAACTACGTCACTGGTCCAATAAAAGTCATCACCCTAAGAAACCCTTGCCCCTTGCATAATTTCTGGACCATCACAGCTACAACATTACTTTGACACTACAGTAACTGCTTTAGTGAGTCTTCCTCTTAAATTCCCATTCTCTTCCCTCACCTGCTTCTTGCTAGATGTGTGTGGCACAATGCACACTTGCCTTTGCACTTGTGACTGGGATTGTCAGTTTTCTATTTTCTAAATGAAAACGACGCCAGTGAATGATAATGCAATTAGAAACAAGCCATTTTTAATCTGATTATAGAAAGAAAAATATGAATTTCCTAATTACACTGTAAAATGAGGAGAAGGCAGGTGACAGAACAGAGAAAGATAATAAATGTAGCCATTTAAACCATGGTGTTAATTGTGAGATTTGGGGATTTATATGTGATATATGTGATGCCCAAGGAACAGATCAGACGGGCACATTTTCATGTATACTTGGTCTTAGTTTAACTACAGCTCACACAAGGTTCTTCTCAAATTAATTTTATTATGGCATCCAAAGGGTCCAGTCACCGTGCAAACATAACATAAAAACAATCTGTGCATGAAAGAGCTTACCATATTATTATTACTATTAATTTACATTCATATTATTATCATATGCATTGACAAGACGGCCATTATTATGGTGGATGAACTTTCATAGCTTAGCTCAAGAACAAACATTTCTTCCACAATATGCTATGTATCAATACTTGCTGATCCTGGACCTCAATGAATAGCTTGCTAAAGATGGCATTAGGATGTTTAGTAATTTGCTGATCTGTTGGTGTTTGATATAAAGTATTAAAATGGCTGATTCAGGTGCTACAGAAATTAAACTGAGTGGCTGCACTGGGAATCACAAAGTCTGGCCACAGTTAGCACTTGGTAATCACCAGTGGTTGTCTGCTAATTTGTTTTCATTCTCAGATAATAGACTCGGCTGGCTTCTGGGTAGGTCACTTTGCAGAGTGGTAGCTTGTAGATGGCTGGGTTGTTTGTCATTAGTAGTAGGAAGAGAAGTGCAGAGAAGCAAAAAGGCCACGTGCAGAGTGGCAATCTAATCTAGGTGGGAAAGACAGATTGATGCATTTTTTTATGACATTTGGACTGTTCCCTTTGCTTAACTCTTTAGCATGAGGTTGGGAAGTTGAGTCTGTTCTGCCAAGACCAGTATTGACAAATATATGATAGAAGAAGCTTCCAAGTGTATGCCATTCCTGGAATGTGTTTCCCCCAAACACATACAAATCCTATCACATGACATGCAAAATAGATCCACTGGGGGTTACAGCGGACAAAAAGCTGAATATGAGCCAGCAATGGGCCCTTGTTGCCAAGAAGGCTAACGGCATCCTGGGCTGCTTTGGTAGGAGTGTTGCCAGCAGGTCAAGGAAAGTGATTCTTCCCAGCTATTCAGCAGTGGTGAGGCCACAACTGTAGTACTGTGTCCAGTTTTGGACCCTCCCCCCACTACAGAAAGGAGGTGGACAAAGTGGAGAGAGTCAGTGAAAATAGTTTGGGGGCTGAGAAAAATGACTTCTGAGGAGCGGCTGAGGGAACTGGCCTTATTTAGTCTGCAGAAGAGAAGACTGAGAGGGGATTTAATAGCAGTGTCAGCTACCTGTAGGGGTTTTGCAAAGAAGATGGAGCTAGACTGTCCTCAGTGGTGGAAGATGACAGAACAAGGAGCAATGGTCTCACGTTGCAGCAAGGGAAGTTTAGGTTAGATATTAGGAAAAACTTTCTCACTAGGAGGGTAGTAAAGCACTGGAACAGGTTGCCCAGAGAGGTGGTGCAATCTCCATCCTTGGAGGTTTTTAAGACCCGACCAAACAAAGCCTTGGCTGGGATGATCTAGTTGGGGCTGGTCCTACTTTGAGCATGGGGTTGGCCTAGATGTGACCTCCCGAGCTTCCCTCCAACCCTCATTTTCTATGATTCTATAGTTATACCAGTAACAACATCATGGATAGCCAGTAATACTACTACTGTAGATCTGTACCTATAGTAGTTAAGAGAGATTCATTTTTTGTTCACATAGCTATGGTGTTTGCAGCGTGACAACTGTATAATGGGAGGTGGCTGTCAGCTCATTACTAATTGCTGCAAAAAGTAGGTAAAATGAGTGTGAAACTTTTTTCATCTCTACTTTGGATGAAAGGGAGCACGTTGGGAGACCTTGCCAGCCTGCCTTGCCTAGGCTCATGGAGATGGGGATGCCTTGCTCTGTTTGATTGTCAGGCCAGGAAAGGTAATGGGTGTTAGGTGCCTAAGTACCTTGGATGATCTGGGCCTAAGAGTCTGGAGGACAGGGCAATGGAGTTTCCTCAGCCTCAGGTTGAAGATGAAAGGGTGGTTGGCTCATGTGACTATATTATACTACCTCCACACAATGGCTGGGATGGAAAGCTTCCTGGGAGCACTACCCCTGTCCAGCCCTGTCCCCTTCAAACCAGGCAGCCAGTGGCTGGTTTATTTGGGATGCCTATGAAGAGTTTGAGCTTTATTTTCACTACTGGCTGGGCATGGGAGCTCTTTATCATTGTGTTTCCTGTATCTGCCTGTCCTCCTCTTTAGGGTTAAGTGTTGGGAGGGATATTTTTGACCACCTAATCCTTTTGGCAGCTCCAAATGTGGCCTCTTTTTGTCCCTCCCCTGAGTATTGCACCAGAGTTTCCTCTCTAGCTTTCTAGTGCAGCAGTGGTCCCAGCCCCTCTAACGGAGCCACGTTTTTCACTGCAGGTAGTTTGGTCTGTTCTCAGAGATGCAGGGGCTGGGCTTGACCCTGTGGTGGCACTGAAAGCTATGCAAAGCCAGGGGCAAGGTCACAAGGGGAAGGGAGAAGGTCCTTGTGAGGCCCAGGTGATACAATGAAATGAATTACAAAATCGTACTTAGCCAGGATCTATCTAAGGTCTTTATCCTTATGCAACCTTAACTCAGGTGTGTTTAAACAGAGGCATCCTATCGACATGGGCCACTATTTTGAGCTGTTTTTATGACCATGCATTAGCAAAGAATACTAATACTGTCTGAGCCCCCAAGGTCTGGAATAGAGGTTCAAGCACCTACTCTGAACGCCTTCAAGACACATTTGGATGTTTAACTTGCTGGGATCCTGTGACCCCAGCTGACTTCCTGTCCCTGGGGCAGGGGGTTGGACTCGAAGTTCTTCTGAGGTCCCTTCCAGCCCGAATGTCTATGAAATCAATGAAAGAAACCAGATGGATAGATTTCACTGAGCATATTTGAACCCATTGACTTTAGAAGTGCATACATTTAAAGCTACCAAACATATTTGCTTCAAACATGACTTTAGTTTTCATCCTTCAGTGAGATCTGTGAAACAAGCTAAGTTTGAGGTATTGGTTTCAGCTATTTTGAATTATACTAGCATAAAATGTCTGCTTTTCACATAAAAGACAAATATATTTTCCCTTCACATTTGCAATACTCAGGAATGGCTGGATCAGACTTTAAAGAGAAAATAGTTGGCTTGAGACAAAGCAAGAACAAATTGAGAACAGCCAAAACGAATCTGTCTAAGTTAGGAACAACCACAGAAGGAAGGGTAGACTTAATGTTGGAATTCAGCACAGGAAATGTTGTTGGAATTCATCTACAAATGCAAGCACGCACATGGAGGATCGGGTGGTTTGAAGTTCTCTGAATTCCTATTATCAGCCATAGCAAATATAGGCTCACAATACACCTGCCGCAGCATCTATACAACCCCCCTGCTGGCTACAGAATTCTTACTCCACGGCTGTCAAAACTGTCAGCAAAATAATAGAAAAGTCTGTATTTCCCAAAGCCAGAATCCATAAAAAAACACCACTGACAAGACACTAGTAAGAGCTGCTCCAGCATAGGCACAAAATAGGACTGTGAAAAGAAGACAAAAAGACACTTCAAGACAAGTAGACTCTTGCTCATCCTAAAAACAGTATCAGAAATAGGCAGTCCCTATGCATACCCTATAAAATGCACAGGATCATAGGGAAGCAAAGCTGGAAGGGACTTCACAAGGTCATCTAGTCCAGCTGCCTCTCCCTGTCCCCTCTCATGGCAGGGTGATCCCTGACAAACCATCCTGGCAAGTGTCTATGGAACCTGTTCTTAAAAAATTTCCAGTGATGGAGATCCCACAATATCTCTAGGTGGTCTGTTCCCATGCTTGACCTCCCTCATCATCAGACAGTTCTTCCTAATCTCCAGCCTACATATCCTTTTCTGTAGCTTGAGGCCATTGCGCTTAGTCCTGACCCCTATGACCACAGAAAAAGCCCATCTCCAATCTCTCTGTAATTGCCCTTCAGGTATTGGAAGACTGTTATCAAATCCTGCCGCAGTCTTTTCAAACCCTACTTCTTTCAGCTTTTCTTTTCTTGCTTCTCACATGCATAATCAATTTTGTTGCTCTACACTGGACTCCTTCCAGTCTGTCCATACTCTTCTTGAAAGGCTGGACCCATAGCTAAAGACAGTGATCTAGGTGAGGCCTCATTAATGCTGGACAGAGTGGAAGAATCACTTCCCATGACCTGCAAGTGACACGTCTGTTAATACAACCAAGTATACTGTTGGCCTTTTTTTTTGGCAACAAAAGCACACTGTTGACTCATAATCATCTTATGGTCTACTGTAACCCCCAGGTCCTTCTCTGCAGTACTGCAGCCTGACCAGCCATTCCCCGGTCTGTAATTGTACATGCAGTTATTCTGTCTCAAGTGTAGGACTTTGTCCCTGGTGAATTTTATCTGATTGATTGCAGACCATTTCTCCAGTCTACCCAGGTCCTTCTGGATCCTAGCCCTGCCTTCCAGATTGAACTCATCCATGAGTTCTCAAAGAAGATAGCCCACGGCTCTCAAATGACCTTAGCCATTCCTTCAGTACCCTAGGGTGCATCCCAGCTGGCACTGCTGACTTGAAAGCATCCATCCTACTTCCTCTGGTACAAGAATTAGGATTTGAATTCTGGTGCAGAAGGACCATTAAATAGGATGTCCCAGTACCATGTGCACAGGTTTTATATTTGTTTCTGTTTGAACACTGGGCCAACTGTACGGAGTTGCTCTACTTTCAAGACTCAGCTTAGCCTTTTCTTTTCTATTTGCATGGACTGTGGGTGATGAGCACTGTACCTCAACAAGGACATGAAATGAAGGTCTCTCTTCTACCCATTACAATAAATTGATGTGTTGGGTTAGAACATTTCCCACCAATTTCTGCCCTGTCCCTCATGGTGCACTTCTTCCCAGGCCAGCCTAATCTTTTCCAGTGTGGTACAGGGTATATGTAAGGGACCTGTGACTCTTCAGCCTGAAAAAGAGAAGGCTGAGAGGGGACCAGGTAGCAGCTCACTGCTACATCAGGGGTGTACATCAAGGGCTTGGTGAACAACTGTTCACCAGGGCACCCTTGGGGAAAACCAGGAGCAATGGCCACAAACTTCAAGAAGACCGTTTCAGGCTCAACATTAGGAAATACTTCTTCACAGTTAAGAGTGTCGGGACTGGAAGAAGCTCTCTCCAGAGGTGGTGCAATTGCCTACTCTGGAAATCTTCAAGAGGAGACTGGATGGTCACCTTGCTGGGGTCACCTCACCCCCATTGTCTTTCCTTATTGGTGCAGGGGGCTGGCCCGATGATCTTCTGAGGTCCCTTCCAGCCCTGTGAATCTATATGTAACTATGAAACTGCTAGGCCTTTCTTTGCTATTTATGGAATGCGCACATTGGCCACTTTATGTTTACAGCTCTGCAGTGCATCATGAGGGACACATGCTTGACCTCTGCACTGTCTTGATGCTATTTTCCCTAATCTAAAATGAAACTGTACGAAGGAGCTTCTTAATACTTAAATCATTTGTATGCACATCTAACTGCCTGACTCTACTGCACGTACACAGGTCATATTTGCAAAGTCATGAGCATTGCGAGCACGTACAGTGTTACCAGCACAACCGTGGCCTGACACTAAATCTGCAGGATGTGAAGTTAGCTTGAGTCCCTGTATCCTTGCCCTCCCCTTTCCTACAGGGTATGTACCACAGGCAAGTGCCATCAGATGTGTCTGCCAAGTAAGTGCTCTTAAGATAACAGGCACCTTTTATGATACATAGCAGAAGATGCTCCAGATACCACAACTCCATGGTATAGATGCAGAATTACTTTCTTCTTACAGCTATGCTCACTGGTAACTGTGTTCTCAGTCACATCAACATAAATATGGAGGAAATGGGTTGACATCAATATGGGTTTGTTATTGCATATTTATGATGGTGTAATTGGGGCTTGAATTTGTACCAGCCCTCACTCAGGTGAAACTCTTTCCAGTGCCCAAGTACTCAGAGCAGCAGTGTGGGAGTAAACTGGATTGTCCACCCCTCTCTCTCAACAGGCTCCACTGAACTGTCACTCCTGTATCTCCAACAGGAATCCAACTAACGGACTTTTCTGAGTTGGCCTTATAAGAGCTCTTGAACGATTCGTCACTGGCTCCAGCAGGACCTCCAGTGACTAGGCTGCTGTCATGTCTTGCCAGTTCGTCTCACTTGTGTTGGGATGCCAGCTTGGATGAATCCATTTCCCACTTGGACGCCTTCATTTGCTTTCTTGTTTTATTGACCTCATCACCAAATCTTCTCTCCAGTCCAAGCCATCTTTTCCTGACCTTCCCCCTTGTGGAGAAATGCACTGAATAAATATGGATGAGATTTAAGGCCTCTGCCCAACTGGGAAGACACCAGAAACCAAGCAGTTTTCCATTCACACACACAAATGATATGATCTGAGTTTTCTGCAGAACACTTTTGGATCTAAGCCTAGAAGCAACACTGCTGTCTCTAGAGAGGTGTGAGTTTGCTCAGGTGGGTTTTAGGGATTAGGGTTAGTTTCATAACATGCATTATGAAATATAACTACAGATCACAACACCTTGTAGGCCCTTACACAATGTACAGAGCTCAAAAGAAAGCTACTCTCTTGCTGTGTCAGGTTGATTAAATGCCCCAAATTAGATGCAAACTCAAGACTGTACCTGCAGACAAGAAATGTGGCCACACTTATGCAAGTGGAATCCAGAAAATTTTGGATGGGTCTGTGTTATCAGGAGGGTTGAGGAACCCATAGATGTAAGACATTATAAACATGACTCAGGTAACCATATTCGTTACCTGCCAGCATGCCCACTGTTGATCCAATTGCAGCATGCAAGCAAATGAGTGGAGAAGAGACGAGCAACGCAGCCAGGAAGATGGCACAGGGGTCATCACAGCCATACATCTGCCCCACTCCAACAGGAATGGACTGTAAGAGCTGCAGCATCCATTTCAAAAGGACCCTGTTATTGTATCATTGTACTTGAGACAAAATGACAGTGGCTATTTGCTATAAAGCAAAGGGCCCAAACCTGCCTCGATACATGAATGCCCTGTAAATGGCATATAAACATCAAAAAATAGCAATAAATAGGGCCAGTAGTCTAGTTTCCAGCAACCCCAGATACATTCATCTCTTCTTATGAAGACTCTGTGTAAAGGAAAGCTGGTTCCCCTCTGATGTGCAGGGAAAGGATCGAGTCAGTCCTTATAGCTATGTAGGCCACTACAACTAACCACTAAAACTCTGAGTCTCTTTTCACGGCTCCTTACATTGGGTGGCTCACTGGCTGTTGTCTGCCTGGTTTTCAGGAGGGGCCAAAATTGAAGCAGATCATTTTTAGTCTGTGTCCCCTCTGCTGAACATGGGTTATTAGGCAGGTACTTAAGAGCAGTGCCTGTCTGGAAGCATGGCATTAAATATGGTAGTGGTTCCTTAAAGTTGGAATTACATTCAATACAACAGGCAAATTTAATGAGATGGGGGAAGTAACAAAGCTTCAGCATGTTGCTGTTAGATTGAGATGGCTTTACTAACTCTTTGAAACAACTTTTGGAATCCAGCATCAGAAATACACAGGTGAAGCTGGAAGTGACCCTTGTGACTGACAGCACTAAAGCAGGCTGTACAAGAAATAAGCAAAAGAGGAGAAAACGTTGTACAGAGAGGACCTGTAAACTTCTGCCTCTTAACTGAGTAGGATGTATGATAAGGAAGGCTGCAGTTCACTTGGGTATATATTAATTCAAAATTCAGCCTGTTTTCCCTAGGCTGTCTCAACAACATACCTGAGATATGGGTCTTGGAAAGATAAGCTTTAAGTAGTTCAGATTCCCTAGTCTGTTTTAGTCCTTTACCTTTCTCCTGAAAATACTAATCTGAGGGCCACTTGCTGTGCCACTTTGGGAATGTTTGTTGGGAAGTAGCTGATTTATCTGAATGTCACTGGGATGGCTTCCTGATTTCGTATGAATTGTTACATGGTATGGTGAGGCACTGTTGGTGCCTGTCACTTTAAGGGCTGAGCCAAGCAGCCAGCAGGTGCTTGATTGCGGCAGCCGTATGTCGCAGAGCACTTAGGTGCCCTACGCCTGAAAACAGAAACAGCTCAAGAGAGACCCCTAGCGGTGAGAAGGGGGAGGCGCAGCTGCCAGTCACCAGGGCAGCACAGGTGCTGGTTGCTGGGGCAACCAGCAAAACCTGCTGACAGGAAGGGGCAGGGCTTAGCCCTTCTTAAGCCCAGGCAGGAGGCCAGTTCCCCTCTGGCAGCCAAGGAGTGGGGAGCTCTGCCAGTGCGGAGAGAGGGGTGAAGATTGTCTGCATGAGCATCCCCTGGTTTGCTGCCATAGGCTGGAGTATTTTTCCCGGTAGGGATTGAATGTTGTTTTGACCAGATGGTTTAGTTTTACGTTATAGCCCAGGGGCTTTGTGCTTTGTGTTTACTGTTTGACCGGAGGACCGGGTGAGGCTATTAGGGGTTGGAGGACGCCTCATAGGGACTCCACGGTAGTGTGGGGGTCCTGGCCCCAGAATGAAGGGGGCAGCGAGGAGCCCTGAGCAAGAGGGGGCAGCGAGGAGCACCGAGCAAGAGGGGGCAGTGAGGAACCCCGAACGAGGTAAAGGAAAGGGCCGAATTACAGCAAGGCCTAGGTCAAGATCCTGGCGGTACCATCTGCGAGGCTTGGGCTGCAGTGTAGGGGAGGAAAGGAGCTGCAGATGCCACCTCCTGGCATCAGGGTGTATAAAGTGGGCAGCCTCCGCTAATTGCATCATTCAATCAATTAAGATCAAGGCATGGCAGGCAAGTAAGCAGGCGGCTGGCCCATAACAGGAGGGCGGAGTCACCACTAGAACCACTCCAGCAACGATACTCCTGTCACACCATATTAGCTCTCTGGCCGCCTGTATAAACAGAGCAGTTTGCTGCTGGCAGGCCAGACAGAGACACTGCCTGGCTGCAGGCTGAATACTACATTCTGGAGGGAAGGGCAGAAGCTTAAGGGGATGGTTTGGAGGCTCCTGGTCCTGAATATGACCTAAAACTGCACCCTGCCAGGGGAATGGGTAGCCTGGTGGGGCTCCCAGTGGCACGGGAGTCCCCAGGAAATACCAGACCAGTTACAACCCTGGTGAAAGGTGGTTCGGGGTGCCTCAATAACCCCAGCTCCCACAACCGGGTGGGTTAACTCCATAGTAAGGCCAAGAAGGGGGACCCAGGTTAGAGACTGGGATATAGACTCAAAAGCCTTACTTAAATACCCTCGACTGCTCAGTGCTGTGGCCAGGACCAGAACAGTCAAAAGAGCCAGGGGCCCACCATGAGGGATGTCCAGAGCTGAAGGCCTGGGGTTTCCAACTGGCCTTGGGTGGCCAAAGGTCCCAGGGGGGACCACACCTGAGGGGGGGAACAGTTCAGGGAGCTAGGCAGCCCTGAATGAGGGTGGAATAGGCTGCCTGATTGGAGGGATCCAGCTGGGGTCTGATTGGAAGGATTCTGAGGCCCAGTGTGGGTTTGGTGATGTTAAGGCCTGTGGATACCATCTGTGAGGCTTGGGCTGCAGTGTAGGGAAGGAACAGAGCCGCAGATAGCGCCCCCTGGCATTGGGGCAAGAAATGGGCAGCCTCCCACCTAATTAACAACATAATTATATATCATCAAAGCGTGGCAGATGAGGAGGCGGGCGGCTGGCCCAGAAACAGGTGGACGGGCCAATGGTAGATCAGCCCCGCGGAAGCCCCCCGTTACACATGGCCATAAGATTCACATACTTGTAGAACCTTAAGCTGTATATGAGCCTGTTACCTACAGGTGAGCGGCTTCATTTTTCCTAACAGACTGGAATACTTCTTTTGTCTTCTGTGTAGCTTACCAGTTGTGTGTGGAGTTCAGACCACGTAATGTTGAGTGCTGATGTTACAGGCTGTATGGATGTTGTAGGGAAGAAGAGGTTGTAGCGTCCAGTCACAGCCAAGTAGAGAGAAACTGTGGCGTTGAAAGGCAGGGTAAAAACAGGAAGGTCCCATTTACTGAAGATTGAACTTAATGCACTGGAAAGAACTGGGCTGAAAAGAGAAGAAGAAAAAGCAACAGTTATTGTTTGGTCACCGCAGTTGGAGGTGTGAGAAACCTCCCACCATTTTAGTCTGAAGTCATGGAATTACAAGTTGAAATACTACTTGGTTCAACTGGTTAATAATTTTTTAAAGGTCTTGATACTAGGCATTAGACTTGTTCCAAGGCCATAGTGAACCAACTGAAAGTGAATTTAGACAAGACAGAGGTGATAGCAGTGGAGGCAGACCACTTGTCTGGTGGAGGGGGGCCAGGACTGGGGCACCTATCACTGAGGTTCAGTTTCACGTTGTTACTCCAGTTCACAGCCTTGGAGTGCTCCTAGATTCTCTGTATCTTCAGGTGATAGCTGTGGCTAAGAGTGCCTCTCACATAACTCCAGCTGGTGAGAAGACTCTGGCCCTTTCTTTCAGTCTCTCATCTCACCACCGTCACCCATGTCTTCATAACCTTGAGGTTAAACCAGTGCACTCTGCATAGGACTGCTCTTGAAAACCATTCAGAAGCTACAGCTGGTGGTGAATGTGGCAACCTGCCTTCTGACCAGGGATGGGTCATTGGGACCATGTAACTCCAGTCCTCCAGTGTCTGCACTGGCTCCCAGTAGCTGTTGGGGCAAAAATCAAGGTTTTGACCTATAAGGTCATAAATGGCTTGGGCCCTACTTTACCTTATTTGCCATCATGATCCTTAGGGTCAGCTGAAAGCAACCTCCTGCAAGTATCATCAGTACACCTAATTCATGCCATGAAAACACAGGAGAGGTCATTCTCAGCAGTTGCTCCTCATCTCTGGCCCTCCCTCCTTCTTACTGACTGCTGGAGCCTGAGCCTGGGCATCCTTCAGGAGCACTGCAAGGTCTTTCTCTTTGGTTAGGCACTTAGCCACCGAAGCGAGACCGACATGTTTTTAGCGGGTCTCTGTTTTATTTGATTTATTCTAGTTGCCCTTTTAAGTTGTTTTGTTTCTCTTACTGTAAGACCCCCTACACCTTCGCTATTTATTCACATAAATACAATAAAATTAGGGCTGTCAATGGATCGCCATTAACATTTGCGATTAACATTTTAATTGGTTCTTGAGTTCATTTTTTTTAACACATTAATGGTGCACATGGTTTTGGAGGCATATTATAAAATGTGCGATATTGTAAAAAATATAAATAATGTCAAAGCTACTAACCATAAAAGTTACTTTTAGGGGTTCCATGAAATGAATCTCTCATACAAGATTAAAACAGAGAGGATAAGCAGTCACACAATGCTGCTCAGCATTTTCTAGTGGCCTTCTGCTGGGCTGTAAATGGGTGTGGAAGTAGTTCAGTTCGTCAGTTTGCCTATTTCTTCAGTTTTTTGAAGGATGTGAAACTCTGTGAGCTCTTGCTCTGGAAACAAGTAAGGCTGGCGTGGAGGCAAGAAGGGAGGGGGGGAGATTTTACTGGTTATCTCCATTTTCTATTGATTATCTCTGTTATCTCCACTCTACCAGCCCACCTTTGGAAAGTGCTCTGGGATGCTAGGACCATGACAGCCTCATCCATCTCAATGAGAGCCGGTGTTGTTCAGCACCGAGTCGAATCAGGCTGTTTGAAGTTTTAAAGAAATATTTGAAATCCAAGCTTCTGTCTTACACGGAAAAAAGTTAGGCTTATTCTTGGCACACAACATAATTGTAGGGAAACCACAAATGATTCAGAGATCTGACACCAAGAAGTATGTGAAAGCTTGGATGAGAAGTATAAACCTGTCCAGTCCTCTTGGTTCTGGAATTTGGGCTAGAAATGTCACAAGAATTGGGTTTCTTGGGAGTTTCTCAGGCTTTTTGGTTGTCAGTCTAGTTTGATCAATCACATGGGCAGCCTTTCTTGGGGCACGTCCTCCTACAGTGGTGCCTGGAATCAATAAATCTACAAGCAGGTGGAAATGACAAAAGCTTTTGGGCCAGGGCCTACCCTGGCAAATACTGACATTTCCAGTGGCTTTGCTTGAGCTAAACTGATTTATCCCCACAGTATATCTAGCACAGTCAGCTTCTGCTCTTATTTAGATCTGTGCAAATCCACTGAAGTTAGCTGAGAGCAGAAAGTCCTGTGTATCATATGCAGTAGTTAACTGAACCTTTGAAAATTTCAAAGGAAGGTGAGTTTAAGAGCTGGATCTGATTTTAACCAAATCCATTTGTTCTTTCCGATGAAATATGTGATGCCTTTTTTTATTGCTACAATCAGTGGAAAAGATGCACTCTATTATAATCCCCATTTATTCTCAGATCAATCCCTTTTTTGATAATGATTTCAGTTATCTCAGTGGTGTACATACTTCTTTGCTGGAGCTAGCAGAAAAATGCTTCAGCCCTTTTGTGAAAGCTTTGTCCTGTTTCTATTACTGAAGCACAAATTGTCTACTAGCAGATAGAAAAAATGTGACAATTTTTATACCAAATGTTTCCTTTTTAATTGAAATTCAGTATTTCAGCCCAAAATTCGTTGAACTGTCTAATTCTAAACTCCTTCAAATGACTCTGCCCTTCAACCTGGGGAATTATAACAAAAGCAATTAAAATAGCAAGGCTCAAAAAATTCAGGCAGACCAAAAAGTGTAAGCATTCCTAAAAATATTCTGGCTTTCTAGGGATTGGTACAATGCGACCATCACTCTAAGGTCTAAATAAATTAATAAAACATGAAATAATCAAAATTTTAGTAAGAGTGGTGAAAGGTAAATGTTTTGGATCTCATCACTAAAACAAGCCATTAAAATGAAACATTTGAACTGCAGTTAGGTAGCTTTCTGTTAAAATGCTTTTTGTAATGATGCTAAGATCTGCCCTTAAAAAAGGTTATTTTAGTCTAAGAAGCACTGCTTTGAAATCAAGTGTGCAGGAGAAGTTAGAGATTTGACTCCTAGGGCAAGATCAGGTTCAGCAGATCACTGGGTTGGAAGTGATCTTGCTGCAAGTGCATGAGCACTTTTAATGGTGCTCATGATTAGGCCCAGATTGAATCTAGCCTCTTGACCACAGGCATTTGCAAAGGTTGTGAGTTAGAGAAGCTATTTTCAGTGTATATATCTGCTAATACTTGTTCCTGTATCAGTGCAAAGGACTTGAAGGCATTTTCCAAGCTATGGACATACACAGATGACTGTGAAACAGGAAGAATACAGGAACTATTTCATAGCCTACATTTTAGGGCAGTGGTTTCAACCTGTTTTCACTTGTAGACCCCTTTGGAAATTTTGAATAAAGGTGTGGACCCCTTTGGATTGTAAGTGTGTGCATTCATATACTTGTAATGGATCTTAGCCATCTTTTGTGGACCCCTTAACCTGTGGACCCCTAGGGGTTGAAAACCACTGTTTTAGGGCAAAAAAAAAATTAAGAATACTAAGTATAACTTACATTGCACGTGTAGGGATTTAGCAGAAGAATCTGCAATGTGTTTTGTCTGTATGCATAATTCCCACTGGCATCAATAAATGTTTTTTACTCACTGAAGATAAGTCATGTATGATGAGAAGAACTAGAAACATTTATTTTTGCTTATAGAAAATAAGTGTGACTTACCAAACCATGGATGTGACAACAACAGGGAAAAGAAGCCACCACTAATAGTCTCCCTTGTCAGAGAAGGCAGCCGTGATCAATCCCACCAAGACCCCATTATAGCCATAAAGGCCTGCTGCTATGGCCGACCTGCAAAGGAAAGACACCTGGCTGGAAATGTTTAGTAGAAGGCAACCTTCACTGCAGACTATGCACTCAACTCTACCACTCAGTGTATCACGGACATGCAACCTCTGGAAGTCCTATATCTCATAGAGAAAAAAATGAAAGATGTGGTCATGCACACATTTTGAGGGCTTGGGTTTAGCATAACTCATGTCAGACTAGTGGTTTTGCTTGGTCCCCCAAACCTAGAGGCTGTTGGAAGTTTGCAGGGTACCCAGACTATTCCAGTAATTGTGAGACACTGAATTTTTACAGCTATGGCAAAGCTAAACTCAAGAGAAATGTTATAGAAGCCAGACAACCAGATAGCTACCACTCCCTGCTTTTAAAGCTTTGCCAGACCCATCAAAACGAGCTGGTTCCTCAGCGCCTTTTGCAACCTGAGCACTGGGGCCACAATTCTGTTCTCACAACTACACTCGACATCAGGGAAAGTTAGTCCGGTGGGTCAGAGCCTAGCTCAGAACGAATGAGGCTAAGGCGCAGTTCTTTGCTCCGTCCTCTGTTCCTTGAGCAAATCGTTCAAACAAGATTTATGGGGGCAGACAGACCCATGTTGCGTGTTACACTTAGCATGTGCTAGATGTGCATGTATCACAGCAAAACTATAACTTGTCATGGAAGAAGCATCCCAGATTAAGTAAGGTGTGTTCAGCAGGTGTCCACAGAAATAATGTGAGCAAGCTGTGGGCTTCACCCAGCTATGACATCAGCAAGGGACTTCTCTGCTCGATCAAGCCTCTGGGTGGGATGAGGAAAGCCACACATGGCAGGAGGAAAGATCCTGGATCTTACACTTGTCAGGTTCCTCCAGGATCAAGTTGAGAGTTGGGTGTCCATAGTACCAGAGGGTCCTAGGGCTGGGCCTGATAATCATCTGATTGTCGGTCCCAGCCCTGTCCTCACACTGGAGCCAATTCAAATGTACTAAGTGTCTTGTGTAACAAGGCCCTTAGGGACCCATTTACCTCTTGAGGCACTTGAGCCCAACATTGAAGTACCATTGATATTCTTGCCTGACCTTGTAGGTGCCTAAATTTCTGCTCTTGCATTTGCACAATTTCTGACAGTGCCTACCTCCTCTTGGGAGTCATGAAGACATAGGCATTCTGGTGCCCATATCTCTTGACCTGGTAGACGTGCTCTGAGCATATCCATTCTCCCCATCCCCAAGCCGGCAGGAGGTAGTGGGATGGCTGTGCAAAGGCCCAGTGGCTAAAATACTCCTCTAGGATATGGGAGACCCGCATTTAAATCACCTGATGGGGAAAGATAAGGAAATTCTGGATATGAAAAGGTGAACAACTTGTGTAAGGACACCTGGCAAGACAGTGGCAGAATGAGGCCTAGCATTTATAGCGCACTAGATTATGTGACTTCTGGATTAGAGGTTGCATGAAAATATGTGGCTAGGAACAGCCAGTGTATTTGTCCTTAGACAAGTTATGCCTGAGTTTGTCCAAGAATAGAAATATCCTGGGATTGGCATGTACACACATCACTCTAGTTATGGTCTAGTGAGCAGCGAAATACACTGCTGCCCTTCCACCAATGATTCAATAGTGCAGTCCTGGGATAACCATTCAGGCTCACTTTGTGATGTCCTGGGATAAACTGTTAATAGTTCTTATAGTTTCATAGTTTCATAGTTTCTAGGGTCAGAAGGGACCTGAGTAGATCATCTAGTCCGACCCCCTGCCATGGCAGGAAAGAGTACTGGGGTCAAATGACCCCAGCTAGGTGTACATCTAGCCATATTATCATGCAAACCTTTTCAGGGTTTGTCCTGGGACAAAGGATATGGACATCTGAATGATCACACTTGTGTCCCAGGATAAAATAGTTTATTTTGAGAAAAACGTGATGTCTGTTTGTAGTCGGTAATGTAATAACCAAAGCGGGAGAAAAAAAGTGAACTAAAGAGCATATCCATTCATAATACCACTAATCGGTATTGCAAGAATTGAACAGTTAATGACCAATTTTTGTGCTGAATCCATACACAAAGGGCCAACTTACCTGTCTTGATCCAGAATAAGTGCTGTTAATGTTGAGACAGTTGTTCCTAAGCAGCCGGTGAGTGTCTGCCAGGGATTTTGGATCAAAAGTCCAGCTATAATAATAAGCCCACTGAAAGGGTTATTGGCAAACATCACCTGGGATGTCCCTCTCAGGACCCAGTCTATAAACTGAACCACGAGAGGTTTATCTGAAAGAGATCAAATAAAAATTCTGGGAGTAAGACATCATTTCGGTATGGCTTTCTTGAACCACACTCAGCTTTGCAGTAACTGCTGGCTACAGAATGGAGGCAATGTATCAACAAGACTATAAAATTCGTCCCTGATTTATGACTGTCTGAACAAGCTTTGCATCTGGCACATGAAAAGCTTGTTGGTAGAGTTTGCTACTATAAAGCACTTGGCTGGATTAATAGAAATTGGTGTATTTATGATCATCAAAAATAGTCTTTCTTGCATGGCAGATTGCATAAGATTCTGCCATAAATTTAACGAGAAAGCTAAACTACTTCAATGCATAATCCAGCTGCAGGATGGGATTTACGCAAGGCTGCAACCAGCTTATGGACAGAGGAGAAACATGATAAGGAAACTTATCTTGTGCCCTGTTAAAACTGGAGACAGAACATTGAGATACAGTCAGGGAGGATTTTAAGGGGGTTCAGATGCCTGAAGAGGCAGATCGGTACCTACAGAAATCAGTGCAAGTGAGGTACCTACAGCCAGATTTGTGCAGGTACAAAGGCATCTAGTTCCTACTGATTTCAGTGGGAATTAATTGCTTAAATACCTTTAGAAATTATGTCCTCAATGGTGCAGCCATGCTTTAGGGATCCTTACAAGCAGTGCTGCAATGAACCTCTAGTGCTGATGTTTCTGTCCTACTGCAGCTTGTCCCACAAAGTCCTTTGGCGTCACACTTGCAAAAGGAGAAGTCTGACACCAAAGTGCAGTCCCAGTCGCACTGCTGTTTAATATTAATTCACGGTGGGCCTGAGCATGCAAGAAGAGTTTCACAGGAAACACCTTTGTTCGCATACAGGATCGCAGTGACTGCACCTGCCAAGTGGCTGATCAGTTCATCTTGTTCATTCACTTATTTAAAAAAAAAATCAATAAAGTAATGCTGTGGAGCATCCAAGCTGTTCATGAACCTAGCGTAAACTGCACATTCCTAGTCACGCTGCCATTGTTTTCTACTAACCTCTCTTACTGTTTTTCACTCCTACTATCCCTGTCCTGTCCCTTGAGGGATGGTAGACCCTTTGGAACAGGTCCTTGCCTTCTAATTCATGCCGACACAATCTTCACCACAATTTGCATTGTTTATAAATGCCTGATAGGATAATAGCTCCTACCTGTGCCAATCAGGACCCAACTCCATTGCTATGGGTTCTGTACCCACACATACATGAAGAGTCAAGTCTTTGTCCCCAAAAGCTAATGATTTAACTTGGTTCCTTCTTGGCTGTACTCTAATATAAATAACAGTAACAAGCCAGGGCTGCTTGGGTACATACATGATATTTTGCATGTTGTGGCAGCAGCAAGATAACACATTAACAGTCCCTAAAACTAAAAAGCTTAGGTTAAAAATTTGTTCTTGTAAAATGGTGGGCATGCCAATTTTGGTCCAGGTCCGTAGGATCTGGGTGTGCATGTCTGGGAGTTAGATGGTTTAAGGTCCACTATACATGCACAGATAACATTGACAAAGATATGGATGTTGAACTACTTTTTACCCATGGTGCTCTTCACATATGCAAATAATTTACCTTTCAGCCAGTCTCCATATTCTTTCATTTCTCCAGTTAGGTATTCCAGGACATTGCAGATCCCTTTCCCGCTGCTCTGTGCCGGGCGCTGGGTTCTTGTGCTCTCTTCTTTGTATATGTTCCTCTCTCCGCAGTTTTCAATTATAACCATCTCTTGGTCCTGCATCTTTGCAAAAATTGAGGGAAAGCAAGAAGGGATCACAACTCTCAGACTTTATGCACATATTATTTTCTTTTTCAACCTGTTCTCTCGTACACTGGAAAATGTCTTCTATAGTTACAGATGTATTAGGGTAATCTTACTTACACTGAACTGTGATCCACTAAAGTCACAGGGGCATCACCATGGATAAGGGTGTCTCAGTCTGATCCATAAAGGCACAAGTATGTCAGAAGAGCAGGCACAGGTTGCTTGCATGAATTCAGCTCTCTCGGTAAATGAGCAAGTGCAATGTATAACACTTACGTTTGTTATTAGGCTTTAAGAATTTGGCATGTTTGATCAGAATGAGCCATGATATGCTTAAAGGTTTTTGAAGTGTCAAGTTCATTTCTCTCTGCTTCCTCAGTTCAACCTGTATCTTAACTCCTCTTCCACCCTTTCATCCCAGGTCAATGCTTTTCTTGCCTTCATTCTTGGATCTACATAACATCAGTAAAACTCCCTGGAAGTTTTCTCATACTTGGCAATACCTCTGTTTGTGCCATGCCCATGTGACAGAGGGTCCTTCTCTGCGCCTGATGGGTAGGAGAGTCTCTGGACACATTCACTGGAGCAGCTCACACTTTGGGCTCTGGAAGTCCTCAGATTGTAAGCTAGGACAGTGCTGTGACTGGGCATGTCTACATGAGACGTTTACTGTGGAGTAGACTAATTAGCTCTGCAGTAAATGTCTCCTTGTCTGCACGTGCAGGGCTCCTAGTCTGGAGTAAACTAATAAACTCCGCAGCAAGGTAATACTTGTAAATAGGCATGAGAGGGCTTCCGTGTGGGGGGCTGCCTTCTGGCTAGCCCCGCACTAAAGTATCCTGGTGCCCCAGTGAGCACCTTTGCACCATTTTGAGCTGGCTTGGAGCAGCCCAGGGCTGGTAGGCTGACCCCCAGACCCCCTTACAGCTGGGGCTGCTATGACTTGGCTCAATGTGCTGTGGTTCTGGGTGCATGTGTAAGCATAGTGCCCAGGAACAATAAACTGTATTGCGATGTGCACCGGAGTTTATTGCACAGCATTAATACGCATGTGTAGATGTGCCCACTCCAGCTTAAATGGTCAGGTCTGAAACGTACTGTGCTTTATTTGCTTTAGTCAGTGGATCTCCAGATTGCAATGACTCCCTTCCCTGAGCCCAGTAATTCCCCCACACTTATTAGCAGGGTAGTTTGCTCCACAAACAGGGCAACAATGGATGAGTTTGTGAGACGTATTTCAGCCCAAAGTGGTGCAGCTTTGGAAAAGAGGGTATATACTCACAGGCAGAATGTAGCAAATTATTTTTTCTTTCAAGCGTCTTTATCTAACCTCAAAGTTATGCTCTGGGCCTCAAAGAGAAAAGTGTCACCATTAAACTATTACAAGTAGAATCTCTTTAAAGTCAATAGAGCCAAGTAACTCTGGAGTTGTGAAGCACTTGAAGAGCAAATCTCTACTCCAGGGTTTTCAAGCCAGCTAGAAAAATATGATGTGGGCTGAAACCTGGTACCAAGCAGGGCTTCATCTACAAAAAACAGACTCAAAAACAAAAGTATTTGGCATCTCAGATGAAAAGGAGTGGGCTGCTTCCAAAAAGTTGGGATTTAAATCACTCCTCGTCTGTCTGTATCCTGCAGGCAACATCCATTCATCCTTCTTGTCATTTCCCATGTGGGCAAGGACAAAGATAAGGAAGTCCATAGGAAACATGGTCCACACAGCAGCATGGCTTGTAATAAGCAGGTGAGGAACAGGCTTCATTCCAAGCAGGGTCATAAGATCATTAAGATCCTAATTCTGGCTGCACAGCCTCATACATCACAATGCTTGGATCTTCAGTGTACTCAGAGCCATCTGTTAATGGAAAATATATTGCACTATATGTGTCCATCTGGGGGAAATGGACAAGCTGGAACACTTCTTTTGGACAGCCATGAAATAAACCCTGTATGATAAGCTGCAATTCATCCATTGGCCTGTACAAGATCCTCTCTGTGGGACTCCTGTTGGGCCATTCAGGGGAGAGAGGTGGGGCATAGGATGGCATATATTTGCTAAGATAGATGAGACTATCCAAGGCAGGCCCAGTGAGGTGCCATTGTCTTCCCATTTGTACTGATCTGCTTTCTGGCAAGCCCTGTACAGAGGCTGCATGGGGGTGGGGGCAGCTAGTCACACCAGTAGCCCTTCCACACAAGCGTCTCAAAGCTCTTCCCCATGATCAGGTAACAAAGCCTCATAAATTCCAGATAAAGCACGACATTCACTAATGGGAGAGCAGAGGGTCCACATCTGGCAATGTGTCAGTGGCACGACAGAGCCCAGGAACTTTTTTGCGCAAAAATTTGCACTGGTCAAAATGAAAACTGGTGTAGTTGAAACAGTACAGCCTTCTGGGAGGGGGATGCTTTTAGTGGGTTAAAACAGGCAATTTTTCCTAGGAAATCTAAATGGAGAGAAGCCAGGTTAAATTTTCTCTAAGAATGTTGACACGCAAGATGGAGCCAATTTAACTGAACTAGGGTGTGTCTACACATGCGTTTTAATGCACATTAGCCTATTTTAATGTGCATTAAAGCATCACTAAACGCCCCCCATGTTATTTTGATACTTGTCATCTATCATGCCAGAGGGATATTTACTGTTTGTATCTCTCTTAGCACATGGCTGATTAGCAGTAGCATACAGATAATGTTTGTATCAGTATTAGCATGACAGTGGGTACGTCGACACTGTGCATAATAACACTGTGCAGTAGTGTGCTGGGCAAAACCTGTGCTAATACGCTACTGCACAGTAGTATTAGACTGCTGCATGGTTAGTATCTGTAAAACCCATATGCTAGTGCTACTGTGCAGTACCAACAGTTACTGTGCATTGATTTGGTACTTGCTTATCCAAGTACTAAACCTAATGCACAGTAACTATGGCAGATTAATGAATGTGTAGATGCACGCAGGGTATATGTGAGTGGTGTGTGAGAAGGGAGTTAAGTCCTGCTGGAGGAAGGAGACTGACAGACAGATGGTAACCCATCTGAAATGTTCAAATAATAGGGGCATTGAGCAAGTTTGGCATATACTGATAGGATAGGCAATAGCCGGCAATAGGCAAATACCGTTATCAGTGTCACTCTGGAAATTCATTGCCAAGGTCTCTATCTATCTCTGGTGTTCTTGCTCCCTCTGGTGCCAGCTTGCAGGCACAGCAGCAGGAGCCTTTTTAATGACCTTCATTCAAACCTATCAGCCTGAGGCTCACTGCACTCACAAATGATGGGATTAACTAGAGCTGTCGAACATGCCAATGACAAACCAAAGCAGGGCTCAGTCTGGATCCTGATCAATTTTGCAGCAGCAGCTTTCCAAGGACAACGATTAGAAAACAATGTGGACTGGAAGAATGAACATGTGGGTGAGAGGAAGACACCCACATCTTATACGTGCTCCACTACTGCCTCCCTGTGTGATCTTGGGCAAATCGCTTCATCTGCCTGTGCCTCAGCAATGCTGGCTGCTTACAGACATAACCCCCTTTTTTCCCCCCACCAAATTGTGCTTCACTTTAAACCTGGCAGGGCCCTGTGCTGAGCCCAGTGCATGCCCAAAAGAGGCAGCATGCTAGTTGGACCTGGTTTGCCCAACATCAGGTGCTTTAGTGGGGCTTTTTTGGTGCTTTTATATAATAGCTGTTTGAATCAGTTTCAGATAAAAACTGCCAAAAGCCCCACTGAAGTCCCTGATCTATACAGACGCTGCAGGGCCGGGTCCAACTAATGTGCTTCCAATTCTGGTAAAGTGCGATTTTTTTTTCCCCCCCTCCCTGGCTGTCAGCAGCCAGTATGTATAAAATGGACAATCTTCCTCCACCTGCTTCTTAAGCACCCTCTGGGATGCTATGGGGATTTAGGATTTACTGCAGTGATCCTCAACCAGGGTGCCGTGGTATGCTGGGGTGCCTTGAGATCCTTCCAAGGGTGCCGCCGGGTGCCATGCAATGTTAGCACAGGTAGGCATGCAAACATGATTCACACGATAAACCCAGAGATTTCAAGTAGGAATCCACAGTATCAAATACATTCTGACCTGTTGTGGCTTCTCTGATTTCTCTGCAACAGAAGAATTGCCCTATTCATTTTCTGTAGTCAAAAAATGAGTGAAAACTAAGCACTGGCATTTTCTGAGGGGTGCTGCAAGTCTGTCAAGGAGGTGCCTTGAGTCTGAAAAGGTTAAGAGTCATTGATTTAGTGTTTAGGAGCACTTTGCAGACAAAACACCCTCCAGAAATCCAGTGCTTTGGTTCTGGCACTAAGGAATAGCTACTGTTTTTGGTAATGACAAATATCATTTCTTGACTGAGCCCTACAAAACACTGAAGGAAAAAGCAGCCTCTGCTTTGACCTTATTCCCAGGTCCAACTGAGTTCGTAGCATAAGAGAGTGGGAGGTATATTTCTATTGTTGATGCTTTCTGTGTTTGGGGGTGGCTTAATCCAGGTTGAATGTCTCTCCGTAAGCCCTTGCCAGGTGAGATGATTGTGCATTAAATTAAAGAGTAAGAGCTGATAAACAAGCAAACAAAAAACTTATGAGGAATATAAACAGTTATCATGGGGACAAGTTAGAGAATCATTTGTGTATAACTAGAATTAGGATTTTTTTTTGATACAATGAATTTGCCTTAGAAAATGGTGGTTTGGTAGGAACGCATTGCTTTATCAGAGCGCACCACTTTTGATGATGCTTTCTTTGGGAAATGCTTCTCAAGCCAGGATGGTTTTTTTGGTCAAAACTGGAGACAGCGCCTTTCTTCTTCACGTGTACTCCAGCAAATAAAACAGCGTTACTTATTTGGGATGAAAAATATTTGAATTTGAAACCATGTCCAGGTTTGTTGATTGGGAACTTTTTTTCCTACTCCTCTTCAGGTATGACTGATCACTAGGTCAGGACAAATTTATTGCAAATAACAGTGAC